AACCAAAATAAGCAAGTCCTCGTGCTTCCTAAATAGCCTCCACATGCTGTGCCTGATGAGGCATACCACATTAGACCTAAAATGTTTTCCCAATATAATGAGCCACAGCCCAGTAATAGATAGTCTAGCACAGTGATGAGATTAACACAAGTATAGAGAGTGAGCAATAAACAAAGTTAAGCTTAAAACATCATCATTCTTGTATCTACAACACATCTGACCACAATCACTTTAATTCTTTCCCATTGTTCATCTTCTATATGAGCCAATTTATGGATCCTCTTCAAAAACTCCAGTGGACTACAAACCCTCAATATCTCAACAAATACCAAGTCAACACATCAACACATCCAATCGCCATTTTACGATATTTCGTCGCTGGATCGGCCCCCCGAAGATTTCGGACTTTCTGTCACGACCGCAAATTTTCCCAAAATAAAACATTTAGGTGGCGACTCTGTATCTGGCAAAGCAGTCCATGTTTGGCACTTCTTTCAAAATCTGTTTTCTCAAAATGATTTGCCGGATTCAGACTCTTTGGTTCAGATTTAGAACCGTGACAATTTGAGAGTCCTGAACTGTAGTGAGCCCAACATGAACAGAACGGGGGGGACTCGCCCTCCCAGGGCGTTCGGGGACGTCTACAGTTTCTTACCATAAAAGCTGGGCTAGAGTGAGGGCTTCTAGTTTCTTCAATTAACTTTTTGTCTAAAAGTTCCTTGAGTTGAATATCAAATTCATCTATATTTTGTCTAGTATAGATCATTGGTCTTACTCTAATGATAACATTAGGGTCTTTTAATTTTAAACTACAATAACGTGGACTACGTTGCCATAGATGTTCAATAAAATTTTCTTCTAAAATTTTATAAATCCAGTGTGATTCATCAATGGTTTTGATGATGAGAGTTAAATCACCACGCGGCATGGACGCAAACTCTTTATCACAAATGTATTTATGTTGTTCTAATAAGGGAATATGAATTAAGACATTATTTATGCTTAATGAAATAGCTTTTTCCTGTATTTGTATTGGAAGGTATTTATATATAAAATTATTGCCAAGAAGGAAATCTCCACGCATATATGGAAAACATAAAATCTTAGGTATAATGAACTTGCTATTATTTAGCCAAATAGCTATATTTTTAGCCTTGAATTGTATGGAAGTATGGTTGCCATCAATTCCAGTAACCAAAATTGGATGTTTCATTAATGTCCATTTTTCCTTTGGTATAACATTCCATTTATATGAGCTAACTGTAGCTCCTGTGTCTATTAGAACACTGAGGTTATAGGGTTTATAACCTGCAAAATTAAATGTTCCCAATACATATGTGTACCTTCTTTTTCTTTGGTTAGGAGAAAAAATAATATCATCATTTTTTGTTTGAAAATGATACATATATGCAGACTTAATATGTTCAAGTTTTCTTCTTCCTAGAAAAATAGGAATCTGAACATTGCTTGAAGTAATAGATTCTTGATTAGAATTATTACTTGATTCTCCATTGCTTAACTTTGAAAATGATTTATTAGGAAAATCTTTTTCAAATACAGAAGTTAATCTTTTAATTTTTTTAACTATATTTTCAATATATAAATTTTTTCCTGATGCTTGTATTTGTAATTGTGCAGGTTTTTTTGTTTTAGAAGATTCTCCTTGTCCCACTAGGTCTTGGATTAACCATTGTCGAGGGACTTCTAAATCGCTCCAATTCATTAGACGAGGTTAAATTACCGTGTCAAATGGTCTTGGTTCAAAGATTTCAACGTTTTTATTATCATTTGATCTTGTTTTTGTTTTAGAAAATTTGGTTAATTCGTGAATTGTTTTCCAACGAATAGCCAAATCATGAGAATTTGATTTCATTCCTAATCCTTGTGTTTTAATTCTTATTCTGACAGTATCTTCAAGATTAGGATCATTTATGGAAATAAAGAAATTTGGTCTAACATTAAACTAAACTACTCCATTAGCCAAATTAGAATAAATTCCTCCAATGATTACTTTCATTGGGTCAAAAAATCTTTTGTCAAAAATTACTACCAAAATAGGAGTATCTATCCCTTGGCAAAATAAGGCTATTATGGTTACTTGGATTAATCCAATATGAATATATTGAATTTCAAGATATTTCTTTTTCCATCTTGCAACCTTTTTCTTATCAAAAAAAGGAATATCAATATTTCTTTCTTCTGACCATTTTGCTTGAGTGTTACCACTGTATTGTTCAAACACTCTTGCTGAAAAGAAGTTGAATTTTGAAAGTTTGTAAATTTTTGGAACAGCAACTTCTTGCATTTTTTCGAATTTTGCTAATTCTTCGTCTGTAAAAGTTTTTTCTTCTCCGATTACATTTCCAAGTCGAATTGCCTATAACTCTTTTTGAGATATTTCTTGACTATTATTAGTAATCATGAAGATTAGTTCTTCGTCTGAACTTTCTTCATCACTTGAAATTTCAAATAAGATTTCGTCTTCATCAGAAATTTATTCTCCATATACTATTTCAAAATCTTGTTCTTCAAGGACTTTGATCATTTTCTTTGCACTTATTCCCCTTTTTGGGCATTCAAGTGCATAATGACCTTCTTCGTTAGAAATGTAACATTTACAAGTTTTCTTTTTTGAAAAAGTTTTGTTCTTTTTCCAATATATAGATACAAAGTGTGAATACAAACAAAAGGGCATTCGGGTGCATAGTGACCTTCTTCGTTACAAATGTAACATTTACAAGTTCTTTTTTTTGAAACACTTGTTGGTTTCTTTTTTCGAATATACTTTTTCTTTTTTGAAAAAGTTTTGTTCTTTTTCCAAGGTTTCCATTTATATTTTCTACGCTTTTTGAAAAATCCTTTTCTTTTAGGAAATGTATTACAACCAATTTTCCAATTTTCTTTTAAAATTTTATCACAACATTTTTGACCATATGGTGAGTTAGAAATTTGATTTTTTATTTGTTTTTTCGCATTTGCTTCTAGACACCGATCTGTTATCGGCCTTAGAACATAATTAATGCGAAAATCAAGATTATCATATTCCTCCTTCCCCATTTTTTTGAGAGAATCAGGATATGTTTTAATACATAACTCATCCCATGGATTAGGGAGTTTATGAAAAAATTGATCTAACCAGGGTTGATTTGCTGGTGGATCAATAAGATAATAATATTTTTTAAAAGTTTGAACATAATCTTCAAAAAGACAAATATTGCATAATTCTAATTTAGTCAAAATATAATTTGCATCTGCTTGCAAATCAGTATCTCCTACAAAACCACATAAATTTTCTTTTATGATTTTTGCAAATTCAGCTAAAATTGTGTCAAGTGTGAGAAAATTTGTTAACAAATCCGTTTTTTGACTTTTTCCAATTTCAGATTTTTCACACTGTCTTAACCATTGCAACACATCTCCCTGGAGAGCTGCTGCAATATAATCAAGGAATTTTTCCTTTGACCCACTATTTTTATAATTGGTAATAATGATGGACAAGGATTGTGTCCAATCATCAATTGCTTGTGGTTGATCCTTAAATGGAACATAAGACAAGCCTAAATAAGTACCATTTTGAGCTATTGGATACTTATGATTATTATCTTTTCTAGATATTACTGGCTCAGGTGTAAGATTGGAGGTACTTCCAATGTTAATATCATTTTTAACTTCATTTGTTTGAATAAAGTCAAAAATTTCCCCATCTCCCCATATGCCAAATAATTCGGGATCAATTGGCTCTTCTGCCTTTCTTTTCCCTTTATTTATTTCTGATGAAATGTCTTGATCTATTGTTTCTTCAGATGAGGATGATTGGCTGTAATGAGTTCCATTTATTTTCAGCAAACAAGTTTATAAAAAGCAAAACACAACCAAACATTCTTCGAAAAGTTACGAATATATTCTTTAAAGGCTTTAAAAATGGAACAGCAATGCATATGCAAGGATGAAGCACTAGAGAAAATGACAAATGGTTTAAAATATCCCAAAAAAGACGAATATGATAACAAGGGTCACTTTTTGAAATGAGTTCCATTTATTTTCAGCAAACAAGTTTATAAAAAGCAAAACACAACCAAACATTCTTCGAAAAGTTACGAATATATTCTTTAAAGGCTTTAAAAATGGAACAGCAATGCATATGCAAGGATGAAGCACTAGAGAAAATGACAAATGGTTTAAAATATCCCAAAAAAGACGAATATGATAACAAGGGTCACTTTTTGAAATGAGTTCCATTTATTTTCAGCAAACAAGTTTATAAAAAGCAAAACACAACCAAACATTCTTCGAAAAGTTACGAATATATTCTTTAAAGGCTTTAAAAATGGAACAGCAATGCATATGCAAGGATGAAGCACTAGAGAAAATGACAAATGGTTTAAAATATCCCAAAAAAGACGAATATGATAACAAGGGTCACTTTTTGAAATGAGTTCCATTTATTTTCAGCAAACAAGTTTATAAAAAGCAAAACACAACCAAACATTCTTCGAAAAAGTTACGAATATATTCTTTCAGATTTTTTTAATATACGTATTGTCTAATGTAATTTTAAAAATTACATTTTGCCTTTTCAAATTTTTAATCGAATAACAAATAATTTTTTTAATTAATAAATCATTAAGTTAACACTACAAAAAAAGGAGCTATTTGTGTCCCATTATTTGTGATAGAAACATTTGCTAACTCAAAAATGTATTATTAAAAAATGTACTTACTATTATTATTTGAGTCGTCAGACTATACCGTCTCAAACAAAATATTATTTGCGTTGGCCAAATTTTTACCGTCTCCAAAAAATTTATTTAATTTTTTTCCACTTTTTTGGCTCCAAAAATTGCATCGCGCGCCTTTTTTCACGCCCATTTCAAGTTACTTTTGCGTAAAATTGCATCGCGCGCCTTTTTTCACGCCCATTTCAAGTTACTTTTGCGTCTATATTGTGCACTATCACAAAAAGTAAATGAAAAAAAATTAAAACGATATCGTTTTTAGAACCTGATATATATACTCTTCCTCTTTTTTTTAAAAAAAAAAATTTCTTCTCTTTTTGCCCTAAATTTCATCTTCGTTCATCACTAAGGAACGAACTCTTCATATTGGCACCACCGATTCTCCATCTCTACCGGCACCGTCGATTCTCCATCTCCATCGGCACCACCGACTCTCCTCCTCTCCACCGACACCGCCAACTGTCCTCCTGCAGGTTAGTGCTCTCTCTCTATGTATATACATATCAGTCTCCCTAAGAACTGAAATAGTAGATGATTTGAGTGTTCGATTTGTGTTCTTTCGTCTCTAGTTAATTTTGAGCTTTCTCTGGAATCAAACTGGGGAAAAATGGTGCATGCTTTTGTAACCTTCCACCCCTGTTCTTTCGCCTCACGGGTTTGGCTTGATATGTAGCCAAAAAGGGTTCTCTATTTTTGAGCTTTCTATATATTAGGGACTAATGGTGTATAATTTATTAATCTACTAGCAGAATTCTAATTGGGTAATATTGTATTGTCCTCACTGAGAAAGGGTTGTTCCTTTTTCATTTGAGAGAATTTGAAGGTAGAATTCAAAATTTATGTACCTAGTTACTTAAGAGATTGAGCAAAGGCTAACGATTGAGATTGAGCAAAGGATCACTGAGAAGTTGAAGGTAGAGTTTGAGCAAATTAGAGCTTGGATGGACTTCATAGGGTCCCAAGGCGGCCTAAGTGGTATACAGGTGGAGTAAAAATAACTAATTGAATAACTTGGGCAATTTGTTTGTTTTTCTTTTCTTTTCTTTCCTTTTCTTTCTATGTATTATATTTAATAAAATGGTATTGGTGTTGGTTATATAGCTTCCAAATGCCTCTAGTGAACATTAACAAGTCAGGAAGTCTGTAGGAGATCATGACAGTCATGATGATGAGTTATTGGGTTCTCCTATGCAGGTATCTCTATTACATAATGTAATATTCACAATCACACATAGTTGAGGTTAAGGGTTAGCCTACTGAAAACTCGATTTAGTGTTATTGTTGCTGTTGAACCTATTTTCCTGATGTTGAACCTAAAGTAAGACTGATTAGTGTTGAACCTATTTTGCATTTCTTAATAGTGTTGAACCTATTTTGCATTCCTTTTGAGTAGCCATCAACATTTAATTTCAGCTTTCCTACAGGTGGACAAAACCATTTGATTAGTCTATGATGCGAGAGATTCGGGTGGAGGATAGATTGGAAAGCCTCATCAATCTCATGGACATAATTTCTTATGTTCTTGAGACTGATTTGAATAGGGGTAATTTGGCTTTCAAAAACAAGTTTGTTTCAATCTTTCCATAACTGCCAAAGGGTAACAATGAAAATAGTATACCATTTTTTTACCAAAAAACTCAGTTTTTTTTTTTTTTTTTTCAAATTCTCAGCAACCCATTCAAAAGAGGCTGACCACATCCAGCCTCCCACTATTTAGTGTCCTTTATTTGAACCCAAATGTATTTCGAGGAGTTGCACTCTCTAAGGAGATGATTCACGTCTTCACTAGCTAATCCACATCTGGAGCACAAGTCAGTTGAGGCCATATTCCTTATGAGTCTCATATGATTAGTGAGCAACCTTCCCTTAAGAATAAGCTAGATGAAAGTTTTCAGCTTTTGAGGAACTTTGAGTTTCCAGATCCAGTTCCAATCCCCACTACTCATGTCCTGATTAGCAATAAGTTTATAGGCAGCAGTAGTAGTGAACTTACCATTAGTGGAACCAACCCAAAAAGGAGCATCTGTGAATGTCACAAATCTAGGCCTACGGATTTTGAGAATTTCTAGTATGGTCTGAGAGCAGACCAGGTTTTCCAGCACGACAATGTCCTAATTGCCTTCACTGTCTAGCACTGAGCTAGACAATTTGATTATAATCTAGACAATTTGATTATATTTAGTGAGGCCCAATAGTATTAGCTAGGGAGTGTCCTGCTAAAATTGAGTTTATGACTTGGTAAAGCTATATATATTATATAACCTAATATTTGATTTAATCTGTTTTTGTTTTTGTTTTTGTTTTTAGGTTTTGCATGCATTAATGACTAATAAATAGATGAATTAATGGTGGCATGGAAGCTAATTTTATTTTTGGACATATTATATTGTGGTTTCAAATGTCAAGCTTTTTGTACTTAATATTTATAACATATTGCCACCACAATGTTTGTATTGATTAAACAAATTTTTGTTAATATTTTGATGTCAATGAAGCTAAGATGATAACTGAATTTGTGTAAACATTTTTGATTTTTGAATGAATGAATGAATGTCTATTGATTGAATGCATTTTTTTTATTGGATTTCAACAAACATAATACAAGTATTAATTACAAAAACGAAATAACTTTTTTTTTTTTTTGGCGACAGCAATTAACAGTCTCAAAAAGCTTATACAGTGTACAGATGAATTTTGTTACAGTCGGCACATTACAGATGCAAAAAAATCTATAGCGAAGGTAATGTACAGACACAATAATAGTATTAGAGACAGCATGTTTGCAGATACTAATCTAAGTGATTTTTGGCCTTTTTTTTGCGACAGTAGGAGACCGTCTCAATTAATACTCTTTACCATCGTAAATATGCTGCGACGACATAGTTCCCGACTCAAAAACTTTTAGCGACCCCCATATTCTCGTCCCTCACCATGCCGTCAAAACGCCGTCGCAAAAACTTTTTGCAACGGCAATTATGTTTTTTGCGACAGCACTACTCAAAAAATATGTTCTCTTGTAGTGTGAGCTCTCTCTTTAAATTGGTATTGTAAGTATTAATAATACATGTAACCATAATAATAATGCCGATTTTTTTTTCCATCTTCCTTTCAATTTTTTATTCTAGACGCGTACGCGTAGCCTTCTGGTAGGTCTATAAATATGTCTATAATCTTTCACTATTTGCAAACATGAAAACATAGGATTCTAATAAGTAATATACACACCCATTCTTGTCTCTCTCCACAGGGCTTATGAATTTTTCTGAACCCTAGAATCCAGTGGTTGAAGTGCTGACCAAGAATTAGCAGAAATCGAAGCCAAACACTTTGAATCCGAGTGAAGAACAATGACTCAGAAATGCTCCAAGCAAGATTTGAGACCCGAGGTTAGGTCCTGAGTCATTATTTGTATGCAATCAATGATGCTTTTTTGGGTGTTTTTATGTGATATCTTATAATTTCAATTATTTTCGTTTTAATATTATAATTTCTGTATTTTTTAATAAAAATAAGCACATAAACTAAACACATCATGCTTTTATAGATAAAATTATAAGCCTGTTTCACTTGGTAAGTTAAGCTCAAAACCCTAATTAACATTATTAATTGGATCAAATTGATACAAAATCTAAAATTAAAGGTTAAAATCGAGCTAATTAAAACAATAGAGACCAAAATAACTCTTTTTTCCTTTCCAAATTGTTAAAATTGTATGGTAGACTCGTGAGGCTTGTGTATTTTTTTTCAAAGGGATTATTATATTTTTTTAACCATGATAATAATATTTGGTGCTTACTTGGCAGTTGAAGGATACAATGACAGATCGTTCAGAATCTGAACCTCAAGAAGGCTCATGGCATTTGCATGACGTGAATCGTCGAGGCACTGGTCAGCCGAAGGGCCGTTTAGAATCTGAAGCTCAAAAATTCCGATGGCATTTGCAATACTTGAATTGTCGAGGTACCAAGTTGAAGGACCGTTCATAACCGTGAGGTACCTTCCTCCCTCCCCGCAAGTACCTTCATTGTGCCCAAAAGCACCAACCAGTATGCGCATTGGTGGACAAGAAAAAGAATTTCACAACAAAGCAATGGAAGAAAAACCAGGGATTATGATTGGTAGGCAAGTTGATGATGAGAAACAAGCAAATGCATTCCTTCGTACCACATAGAAACTACTTTTATTACAACTGTCTCCTACTCAAATGCCATCTATTGCCAACCTCACACGTTCCCGACATGACTAAACTCGAGTTAAAAAGACTACCAACTGATGTCAAAATTCCAGGATCCATGTTATGATTGCTTTAAAGAATAAGCTTGGCCGTATATTTGTTGTTGTGTTTGACATATGTTGTTATTATCCTTCTTTTGCTTTTGGATGAGAACCACAAAAAAACCTATCAAACTAGAGAATGGAAAACCCAAAAACTCAACTTCTCTTAACACCAATATTACAACAGAACATAAGAAAGAAAAAAACAGACGCAGAAAAACCAACCAACCATGTGAAACTAACAACTGCAACAGAACGAGTGAATTGGTGTCCCAATAAAATTGGCACCTAATGAGACTCACACAATCATATTCAACCACCAACAGGAACACCAAACCGTCGGTGAGACAGCAAACAAACACCAAGCAGAATTAGACCCCAACACCAAACAAACACAGAAATAGAAGCCACTCTGATGGGCTTTTTCAATTTTAAAATAAGAGAACCTAGAAGCCGCTACATCATTCTAGATGAAGATTTTGTACTCAGATAACACAGACAACACGATGTGTCTAAAAACTGCTTGGAAAGTTTCTCCCTCATTCCACGTAACCTTCTGTCCTTCCTCAGTGGCACTACTCAAGAGCTTCACAACTGGATCAGCTTCAAGTTCTTCATCTGTAAGAGCTTCAAATATAGGGTGTCCCTCTAAACAAGCCTTCATCCACTGTCCAAGTTCTTTCACATCCATAACCATATATATAGTCCCATCAACTCCAAGAACATAAGCATATTCATCTAGCAAGTGTGGGCTGATCACACGACCCTGATGATTCTTCTCTTAAAGTGAGGATCAGGGAACAGGAAAAACATCTTCGATAACTATCCTTTCTCAAAGTAATTCTGAATATATTTCATGGAATTAGTTCTAACCACTGATGCATTCTGGCACTGACCAGGATGTGCTAACCACAAAGCTAAAACCCGTTCCCTGGCATACTCTGTTACTTTGTCCCTCAGCGTTCCATCCCAATCATCAGGGTGTCAGGGAATAGGGTTGAAAGACTAACTAGGAGTCCTCCAAAGCACTACTCAAGAGCTTCACAACTGGATCAGCTTCAAGTTCTTCATCTGTAAGAGCTTCAAATATAGGGTGTCCCTCTAAACAAGCCTTCATCCACTCTCCAAGTTCTTTCACATCCATAACCATATATATAGTCCCATCAACTCCAAGAACATAAGCATATTCATCTAGCAAGTGTGGGCTGATCACACGACACCGATGATTCTTCTCTTAAAGTGAGGATCAGGGAACAGGAAAAACATCTTCGATAACTATCCTTTCTCAAAGTAATTCTGAATATATTTCATGGAATTAGTTCTAACCACTGATACATTCTGGCACTGACCAGGATGTGCTAACCACAAAGCTAAAACTCGTTCCCTGACATACTCTGTTACTTTGTCCCTCAGCGTTCCATCCCAATCATCAGGGTGTCAGGGAATAGGGTTGAAAGACTAACTAGGAGTCCTCCAAAACCACAGCCGATATCTGCAAATTGGATCTTCTTGGAATTGTCAACTTGATCAGATAATGCAAACAATTGAGGCAAACAGAGGGAATAGTCGGCATGGCAAGGGGAGATAGGCACAGGGAAGTGGGAGTCACTTAGTGGATTGCTGTGAGCTCGTACCCGATAAAAACGTTTCCGTGGCAAATGAGTCGTCTTGCTGATATAAGGGTTTGCCTCATTCTCCAACATCTTTTCTCAAAATTGCATAGCAGCAGCAACTCATAATTTATAGGATAGGGGGAAAAAAAAAATTACAAGATGCAGATGTGAAGTTTAAAGCAGCTCTGTTGTCTAAAAGAAAAAAAAAATTATAACTGGATATTGTTAACAAAGACTTCTCAATGTTCTCATACAAATTTTCTTTTTCCAAAACAATGACTTTTTTCCACATTAAGCAATGTTTAATCAGAAGTATCATATTAGGGTTCGATGTTTCCTTTTTCCTAGTTCCCCCCCAAAAAAAAAATCTGATTAAACATAAAAAGTATGTCAGATTCATGTCAGATTCCATGGCATGTTTTAATGAAGAAGATAATGAAAAATTGGAAGAACTTTGTCATCTTTTTCTCTCCCCATCATTTCTGTTAACATATGTATATAATATTCATATACTTATTAATATAATCAAATATGGAGACAGCTTTAGTATATAATATAATATAGTATGTAATATAATATAGTATGTATATAATAGGAGCTTTAGCTTTCAGCTTGTCTCTTCTTTCGGCCGCTCACTTCCTTTCGGTGTGCCTTTTTCTTATTTTAGTGATGTATACCACTAGAACACAATATTTGTTCCATTTTCCTGGAAAACACAGAACCTTTCCATTTTCCAACATAGAATCGGAATAATTAGCCTCTCACACAAACATTATCTCTCTCCATATAAGAAATCACCAGCGTAAAGTCTTTTATCATCCTTGCCAAAGCTTCTTGCATTTTAACAAACAGCAGGAACATGACTCTGAATAAAAAATTTCAACTTCTTTAGAATCTTCAGACACAACCAGCTGATACATACTAATATCTGCTGATCTTTGCTTTGATTACTTTACAATTAACGATTCACTAATTCAATCATTGGGGTAATCGGATCGAATTGTAACGTCATAATTACATCTACTGAAAATTATATAGAAATAAAAATATAATCATTAAATTCAATATATATCCAAAAAAAAAAAAAAAACTCAAATAGCACCAGCACACAAAGTTGGTCCCCTATTTTTGAGACTTAAACAGAGCACAACAACATAAACAAAGAAATCCCTAGAACACCAGCCACTAAACCTAAAAGACAAGAACACTCTTGGAGTATATGTCAAATGAGATTATTTAGTAACTTTAATGGTTTGTCAAATCCTTAAATCAAAGCCATTTAGTTATACACCTACATAATAATAATAAAAAATGCCTTGCAATGGTGTCCCAAATCTTCAGCCAAAATTTGTCAAAAGGCACAAGATTTGGTTTTGTCAAATTTTCCACACCAATTATGACCACTATATGCTTTTTTTTTTTGAAAAATAGATCCAACGGTAGCATTTTGAGTGGTATAAAAAAATAAAACAAAATAGAATTAGGCGTGCCAAAATAACATGAGAACCATTTTGAGTGGTATAAAAAATAAAACAAAATAAAAAGTGGCCCTTTTGTACTGTATCAAGCCAATAAATACTTTGGCAAATCTATGTGACAATGGAGTTACTATTATATGTGTACATTCATAATGAGGGTAATGAATAATACAAAGAGGTTGATTGCATGACTAACTCACTAATTGAAGGAAAGATATCTAATTCAATGACATAAAGACAAGGATTTTCAAAATCTAAATCTATCGATTAAAATTAATACTAAGTAAAAATTAAAAAAAAAATAGTAAAATTAATCCTAGTTTTTACGAGGCTTCTTCATTTTTTTCACAAGTTGAATTACATTAAACCAAAAAAAATTATTCATAATTTTTTTTCTTTAAATTTCTACTCAATTCTATTTGTGTATTTTTGGTTGAAGCCTCGCATGTTTTATAGTTGAGGCAATGAATACAATGGCATCAGCTGTTATGGATATAGTCAACACTACTTTGGATTGGGTGACATTCGCATTTGAGGTTCCTTTTGCTCGAGCTTTTGTTTTTGGAGTGCACATCCATGGTAGGCTATCATTTCTTCAAACTGAAATTATTTTTGTCCTTAATTTAGTGGTATTTTGATCCGAAAAGTAACATTTTTTTTGGGGGGTTGAAGGGCATCTATTTGTGGAGGGCCTTCTTGTAGTTGTTATTTTGTTTTTACTTTCCCAGAAAAGTTACAAGCCTCCTAAACGGCCCCTTACAAAGAAGGTACAATCAATTCTTTTTTGTTCCATATGAACTTGCTGTCTTCTTGAATAGGTTTTGTGGTCTTCTTGTATTGATTAACAATTCTACAATTTCTTCTCTTTTTATTTCTGTTGCATTTAAAATAGAAAATCTGTTGCATCTCAATCTTTGCACTTACTTTTTCAATGATAAACATATTTTGTTCATTATTGTTTATCTTTCTTTTTCTTTTTCCTTTTCCTATTCTCTCTCTCTGTCTTGATTTTTTCTTTTGGATTTCTTTTGGATTTTTTCCTTTTCCTATTCTCTCTCTCTCTTAAACTTTCATCTATCACTTGCCTCTTTAACTCTCTTCTAGGCCTTTTTTTTGCATAATATTTTAGGCTTATTTGTGAGTTGTTTTGGACTTGGTCATAAACTGTAAAATAACCTTTTTTTAGCCCCTCTTCAACATTGTTGAAGGGCTCTCCTCTGTTTAAGGTCTCCTACCATCACTTGCCTCTTTATCTCTCTTTTAGGCCAATTTTTGCATAGTATTTTAGGCTTATTTGTGAGCTGTTTTGGACTTTTCCATAAACTGTGAAATATCTTTTTTTGAGCCCCTCTTCAACTTTGTTGAAGGGCTCTCCTCTGTTTGAGAACAGATCCTACCACTTGTCTCTTTACCCCTCTTTTAGGCATTTTCTTGTATGATAGTTTGGCCTTATTTGTGATTATTTTCGTGGCTTGATGTAAACTGTGTAGTGCCTTTTTTTGAGCCCCTCTTCAACTTTATTGAAGATCTCTTTGCCATTTGGGGCCAGCTGCTGTCCCTTGTGTTTAATCTCTCTTTTAGGGCCATTTTTGCATGATGGATTAGCCATATTTGTGTTCATTTTTAAGACATGTTACAAATTGGAAATATGCATGTTTTGGGACTGTCTTGCCTCTGTCTTCATGCTTCATGATCAAATAATGCATGCTTTGTATAGCTGTAAGTCATTCCATGTGCCTAGTTTCGAGTTTCGGGGTTCATTCCATGCATCAGGTGCCATGTTTCCATGTTTCGGGGCTGTTTTGTATCATATTTCAGTGGTTTCCCCATTCAAATCTCCCTTCCACCTCTAACTCTTGCTCCACATTCTAGGTAACTTAAGTGTGGCAACACCTGCTTGCTGGTGCTGCTTTTTTTGTGGCAGTAGGTTGTTTGAAATGAATTATATAAGTGCACTTTTTGATTTTTTGACTAAAAAAGTAGAGGAAAAAAAGATATATATTTTGGATAACTTTTTACTTTTTACTTTTTACGAAAAAATGTGTATTAAAATATTGTATCAACTAGCAAAATGACCTTCCTATCCTTCTGAGCTGCACTGTTGGATGGTACTTGTCAGTGCACTGTGTTGCACTATTGTATCAGTGAAGGTACTTGTCATCAGTGCACTGTGCTGAACTGCTTTTTTTTTTTTTCCCCACAGGTGAGCTGCACTGTTGGAAGGGGACAAAGAAGGGCAATTCTGTCTTTTTGTTCTCTGAGAAATCAGCTCCAATTTCCTATCAAACAATTGTGAATAGTATAAACCTTTTTGATTTTGTAGTGAATTTTTGTCTTTTTTAGGTTAACCCAAACACCTACTTCGTTTGTGGTGCATTTTTGTCTTTGCGTCTTTGCATTTTTGTCACCTATGCTGATTTTTTTGTTGCCTTTTTTTGGTTAGTATGAATTTGTTTCGTGGGTGTATTTAATGTTGTTTTGAAATCATTCTTTCTTGCACTAATTATTTTTTTTTTTTTGTTTTGTTTACTTTTCTAACACAAAAGTTTGTCGATTGGGTCATTTATTCATTTTTTTCACAAGTTGAATTACATTAAACCAAAAAAAATTATTCATAATTTTTTTTCTTTAAATTTCTACTCAATTCTATTTGTGTATTTTTGGTTGAAGCCTCGCATGTTTTATAGTTAAGGCAATGAATACAATGGCATCAGCTGTTATGGATATAGTCAACACTACTTTGGATTGGGTGACATTCGCATTTGAGGTTCCTTTTGCTCGAGCCTTTGTTTTCTGAGTGCACATTCATGGTAGGCTATCATTTCTTTAAACTGAAATTATTTTTGTCCATAATTTAGTGGTATTTTAATCCGAAAAGTAATATATTTTTTTTTGGTTGAAGGGTATCTATTTGTGGAGGGCCTTCTTGTAGTTGTTATTTTGTTTTTACTGTCCCAAAAAAGTTACAAGCCCCCTAAACGGCCTCTTACAAAGAAGGTACTATCAATTCCTTTATGTTCCGTATGAACTTGCTATCTTCTTGAATAGGTTTTGTGGTCCTCTGGTATTGATTAACAATTCTACAATTTCTTCTCTTTTTATTTTTGTTGCATTTAAAATAAAAAAATCTGTTACATCTCAATCTTTGCATGGACTTTTTTCAATGATAAACATATTTTGTTCATTATTGTTTATCTTTCTTTTTATTTTTCCTTTTCCTATTCTCTCTCTCTGTCTTGATTTTTTCTTTTGGATTTCTTTTGGATTTTTTCCTTTTCCTATTCTCTCTCTCTTAAACTTTCATCTATCACTTGCCTCTTTAACTCTCTTCTAGGCCTTTTTTTTGCATAATATTTTAGGCTTATTTGTGAGTTGTTTTGGACTTGGTCATAAAATGTAAAATAACCTTTTCCTTTTCATGTTTGATCAAGGACCTCCTGCTGTTTGAGGTCTCCTACTACCACTTGCCTCTTTATCTCTCTTTTAGGCCAATTTTTGCATAGTATTTTAGGCTTATTTGTGAGCTGTTTTGGACTTTTCCATAAACTGTGAAATATCTTTTTTTGAGCCCCTCTTCAACTTTGTTGAAGGGCTCTCCTCTGTTTGAGAACAGATCCTACCACTTGTCTCTTTACCCCTCTTTTAGGCCTTTTCTTGCATGATAGTTTGGCCTTATTTGTGATTATTTTCGTGGCTTGATGTAAACTGTGCAGTGCCTTTTTTTGAGCCCCTCTTCAACTTTATTGAAGATCTCTTTGCCATTTGGGCCAGCTACTGTCCCTTGTGTTTAATCTCTCTTTTAGGGCCATTTTTGCATGATAGATTAGCCATATTTGTGTTCATTTTTAAGACTTGTTACAAATTGGAAATATGCATGTTTTGGGACTGTCTTGCCTCTGTCTTCATGCTTCATGATCAAATAATTGAGGCCTTGTACGGCCGACCGTGTAGGTCTCCAGTTTGTTGGGCCGAGGTGGGTGATGCACCTTTGTTGGGCCCGGAGTTGGTAAGGGAAACGACGGAGAAAGTTGAGCTTATCCGTAGGAGGCTTGTTACAGCCCAGAGTCGCCAAAAACGTTATGCTGACCGTAGGAGGAGGCCTTTTGAATTTGAGGTTGGTGACCATGTCTTTCTGAAAATATCACCTAGGCGGGGTTTGATGAGGTTTAGGAAGAGTGGGAAATTGTCCCCTCAGTTTATAGGCCCTTTCGAGATCCTTGAGAGGATTGGTGAGGTTGCTTACCGTTTAGCTTTACCGCCGCAGTTGTCCGGGGTACATGACGTGTTTCATGTCAGTATGCTTCGGAAGTACGAGCCGGATCCATCGCATGTATTGGATTGGACCGACTTAGAGGTAGATGAGGATGTCTTGTATGAGGAGAGACTGGTTCGGGTCTTGGATAGGCGGGATCAAGTCTTGCGAGGCAAGACCATTCCCTTGGTAAAAGTTTTGTGGAAACATCACGGAGTGGAAGAAGCCACTTGGAAACGTGAGTTGGAAGTCCGTGAAAAATATCCGGATATGTTTGTTGATGTGTAATCATATATTGGGAATTTTGTAATATTGATGAACTTTTAGAGCATGGAATATGTCTTAAGTTGTAAAACATTGTATATGTTTTGATTTATGGAAGTACTTTGGAACTTGCCTTGAAATGGAAGTTTATTTTAACATTGCATATGTTAATTTTGTTTTAGAAATGCAAATATATTATTGGCATTGAATGTGAAATTGAATTGTGGATTATGTATTGAAATTTGTTGAATTTCAAGGAAAGAATGTTAAAAATGCATGTTGAGTTATATATTGTGATTTGCCTCTTGAAAAGAGATGAGATGACCGGTAGTGGGTGAGGTTGTTGAATATTGAGTTGTAATATTGTAAAGAATTGAGAGAAACATGTTTTTGAAAACTTGTATTTAATTTCGGAGACGAAATTCCTTAAGGGGGGGAAGGTTATAGCGATCCCGGTCTTCCCTCCTTATTTACTGTATTCCGGACTCGGTTCCGTTGATAGTTGTGGTTGTCTATATTTCATTTCCGTCCTCTAATGCTTTGGATTGGAGTTTAGAAATGTCTTGGGCATGTTTCGAACAGGTTGGTTGAGCTTTAGTCCCATTCCTTGTTGCCCCAGATTTTTGGTGGTCCGCTCGAGCGGATCCATTCGCGCTTGAGCGGAGTTTGCACATCTTCAGTAGTTTGTCCGTCTGCAAAAGTACTGCAGATGTGTTTTTCACGCTCGAGCATATTTCCTTACGCTCGAGCGGGTCGCGCTCGAGCGGACCTTTTTGCGCTCGAGCGGGTGTTCAATGTCTGTAAAAAAAATACTGGGAAAGGGTAATCTACGCTCGAGCGGGTTTATCTTTGCGCTCGAGCGGGTGTGTTTTGTAGTTGTGTCTTGACGCTCGAGCGGGTCCAATTTTTGTGCTTGACGCTCGAGCGTCCTATTCTCCGCTCGAGCGGACTAGTCGTATATCAGAGGGCAGCTGGGTGATTTTAAATCACTTTTCACACTTTCTTTCTCTCTCTTACTTTTCAAAACCTCCATTGGAGAGCACCTCACTCTAAAACTCCAACTTCTCTCTAGGGTTTGATCTAGTATGAGTGATCTTCTATCCATGGGCCTTTGTAAAAAGTGTGGAGTTGGATTCATTAAGTGGAAATAATGAAATTGGCTCATTATGAGGTAGAATGGTGGAGTTGGATTCATTAATCACTCAACTTTGAAATTGT